TCCAGGCCTCCGCCACCCTCAGAGGGAAGAAGTGAAATTCTACTTCTTGGGGCAACTTCACCAATAGTTCAACTATCGGTGAAGTTGTCCCAAGGCAGACACTGCTGGGACTGGGCAGGTTGTTCCATCGGTCCTCTTGCCTCCCTTCACTCACCGACATGAATAGGATCCTGTTCTCCATTGCATATAAATAAAAAATACGGCATAAATACTTATTCCAGCTTTAAACTGTTTGTTTATGACCGCCAGATAAGCACTTGCTTTACTGGTTACCAGTTTGGATGCTGTCACAGTGATGTGGGGAATCTACCAAGTCTCTGCAAACTCACCAACTGGCTTCTAATTCGTGTCCGCTTTTAGCTGCTCTTTAAATGAAATTCCTGTTTCTGGTTCTATCAAAAGCACAAATGGAAATTTAAAGTTTTTTTTTTTTTTTTTTTTTTTTGCTTCTTTATATGGCCCGGCATCACCCCGCTCTCCTGGAGCTCTTTACCCTGTCTCCGTTCAACGGCACTCGATGGTCCTATCTGCTGCCTTCTCCACCCGTGCTGGGAACACTGCATATTTACAATCTCATGACCCTTTGCCTAGCAAAAGAGATTCCTAAATACGTGTATTTTGTAAAATTTCCAGCTGCTGTGGGAGAGTTTTACAAAGTCAGTGATGTGCTTGAGCCCCGGGCCTGCTGCTTTTAAACGTTTTTCCAGCGTCTGAGTGTTGCATGTGTGGGAAGCTCTCCCCGTGTCCTCACACTGCTGGACGTTCTCTCTGCTGCAGGTACGTGAAGGGCTACCCGCCAAACTCCCCCTACATTGGGAGCTCCCCAACTCTGTGCCACCTTTTACCCGAAAAAGCCCCTTTCTGCTGCCTGAGGTTGGACAAGGTATGATGGGGATGCAGGGGGTTGGCTCCATGCGTGGTGGGTGGGCGGCCGAGAGCCCCGCGCTGAGTCCCTGCGCTGCCTTCCGCCGCGCAGGGCTGCAAGCACAACAGCTTTGAAGATGCCAAAGCCTACGGTTTTAAGAACAAACTGATCATCGTTTCGGCGGAGACGGCTGGGAACGGCCTGTACAACTTCATTGTCCCGCTTCGTGCGTACTATCGGTCCCGCAAAGAGTTGAACCCAATTGTGTTGCTGCTGGACAACAAGCAAGTACTTTTCCACGGATGTTTTCCATCTCACCGAGCCCTCCCCTGTGTTTTCCTGGGCATCTCATACCGTGGGGGTGGGAGTGTGGCGGGATGGCAGTGCCACTGCTGGGTACCTTGGCTGATGTTGACCCTGGGGACTCCTGTGTGGGTTTTGTCTGTCTTTGCCCCACGGACTTGCTGAACCACCTTGCTCTCTGTTGCTCTTCCTCCAGACCTGAGCACCACTTTCTGGAAGCCATCTGTTGTTTCCCCATGGTTTACTACATGGAGGGCACGATCGACAAGTAGGTGTTCCCGCGTGAGGCTGTTGTTACTCACACTGATGCCTGAACGTGTTGCATTTACCCCAGCCCATACTTTTGGGTCATCCCATAAGAGCCCCAGGGTTGGTACAATAGAGCTGAGCCCACCTTTGGCTTCCCGGGTTGTCAAACCCCCATCGGTAGATGGGAGCAGGTGAAGAGCTGGTGGTTGGGAGCAACCTGGGCTTGCTGTAGCGTCGCAGCGTGCTGCTTCCCTGTGTCGTTTCCAAGGGCTGACCCTGCGCTCTTCTCTTTGGGAACTGCCCAGCTTGGACAGCTTGCTGCAGTGCGGCATCATCTATGCCGACAACCTGGTGGTGGTGGACAAGGAGAGCACAATGAGTGCCGAGGAGGACTACATGGCAGATGCAAAGACGATTGTCAACGTCCAGACCATGTTCAGGTGAGGGGTGACCGCTGCCCTGGCTCCCTCACAGCCACCTAACTTTGCTGGAGACAAGACCAGGAAGGGTGCTGCTGGCTGTGGTGGTGGCTGCGGGCAGTGGGACACATCTGTGGTTGAGCTTGCTCTAGAAAACAGCGTCTAGTTGGCCAGTTCTGACCACAGACAGGCACAGGGATGGTTTTGGTCTTCCTCAGGCTTTGAAAGCAGGGAGTGCTCTCACTTCTGAGCGAGCTGCAGGACAACGGGTCTCTTTCCATTGCAGGCTCTTCCCCAGCCTCAGCATTATCACAGAGCTGACCCACCCCTCCAACATGAGGTTCATGCAGTTCAGAGCAAAGGACAGTTACTCTCTTGCCCTTTCCAAGCTAGAAAAGGTAAGAGCAGGTCTTCCCTGCACGCGGGGCCTGGGAAGTCGATGCTGAGAGTGATTACATCTGAGCTTCTCAAGGTCCTGTGCTCTTCTGCATGCTGCAGCTACCATAGCTAGTGTGCATCTACCCGAGATACCCTGCAGCAGAGAAATAAAAGGGGAGCTGATTTCTGGACTAGCTACCTCCTTCTACGCATTTATGTATTTATTCGGTGGCTGGAGTTTGTGCTGCTTCGCCCACTGCGGTGCTGGGCACACTGGCCCTCTGAGTCGGGTTTAATGCAGTGGGGTCACTGTGCGGAGACAGATCTTCTGACAAGGGAGAAAATACCCCTGAACCAGACACTGGGGCAAGTGAAAGGGCCACATCCAGCCCATGTCAAAAAAACCCAGCCGTGTCTCACACATTTCTGTGGAGAAAAATCCCTCTTTTGCCCAGTGTAAGGATGCTGCCCTGGTTCCCTCCTGGCACACCCACCAGAAATGCGATGCTGGTGTCCTCCCATTTTCACAAGTTTTCTAGTTTTTCTGCAACCTATGCGTGGGCAGGCTGCATTTTTGGGGTTTTTTTGGTAAATGCCCTGGAAGGACAGGAACAAGCCCCTGCCAACAGTGTTTGCCTATGAGTGCTCATGTGTCCCCTTCCTTTTCCAGAAAGAGCGAGAGAACGGCTCCAACCTGGCCTTCATGTTCCGGCTGCCCTTTGCAGCCGGGAGGGTCTTCAGCATCAGCATGCTGGACACGCTGCTCTACCAGGTGAGAGCCCGACGGGCTCAGGGTAATGCACCTTGCAGCTGCGGCCACCCCTTCATGTCTCCCAGTGAATAACCGAGCAAACCTTTTCTCCGGCTTCCTGCCCAAATGTCTCCCTGCAGTCGTTCGTGAAGGACTACATGATCACCATCACTCGGTTGCTGCTGGGTCTTGACACCACGCCGGGCTCTGGCTACCTCTGTGCGGTAGGTGCCAAGTCCCCTTGGGTTGAAATCATCGGGCCATGTCATTGTGGATTGGGTGGGATCTGTCACTCAGCACGTGGGGGTGGAGGATTTTCTTCTTCTGGGGGACAGGTGGGGAGACAACATTAGGCAGAACATCATAGGTCATTACAGAATCACAGAATGGTCGGGGTTGGAAGGGACCTCTGTGGGTCATCTAGTCCAACCCTCCTGCCGAAGCAGGGTCACCCAGAGCAGGCTGCACAGCACCGCGTCCAGGCGGGTCTTGAATAGAGAAGGAGACTCCACAGCCTCCCTGGGCAGCCTGGGCCAGTGGGGAACATCAGCACTACCACGAGCCCAAAAGCCCAAGAGATACCAAGGAACAAAGTCCCCATTCGGATGGCTGGGATCAGAAATTGCCCCCGGTCTTTTCTGTGGAGTCCATCTTGCTTTTGGGATTGACATGGCTGAGCTGGATGAAGCTCAGGAGCAGCCCCGAGGTGCTCCTCAGGCTCTGCACGGTGCAGGGAAGTTGATGTTTGTCCTCTGCTGCTTAGATGAAGATCACTGAAGATGACCTGTGGATCCGGACGTACGGCCGCCTCTTCCAGAAGCTTTGCTCCTCCAGTGCGGAGATTCCCATAGGGATTTACAGGACAGAGTCACACATGTTTGCAACCTCCGAGGTAGGGGCACGGCGGTGGCGTATGCTGGTGGTCCCAGCGGAGCATCACCGCTGGGCTGCCGAGATGCGG